AAAAGATTTGAATAGTGTGTCTAGGATCCTAAGGAACCTGGAACTATCTTTCTCGTGCACACTGTGTACCTGGACTCTTTTTGTGGAGTCTCATCTATGATAAGATTCTCATCCTTTACATGGCTAGTGGCTCTTCTATGAGTGGGTATTTACAAAAGGTAAAATGTCATATCTGAAAGCTGGGATACCTGTGTCCTTTTCTTGTATGGAACCCAGATTGCTGGCCATTCTTTTTCCAAAATAGTAGTTTTAGGTCACCTGAACACAGGAAATACAATTTTTTCTTCTTTTATCATAAGCATGTTTTATTTAAAACCCACCTAAACATGTTGCTGTATTCTGAAAGGAGGATACATGCTTAATTATAGTGAGAAAAGTAGTCTTTTAGCATTTTGAGAAAAGCTGATCTGGGATTTGTTTCAGAATTCTTTAAAATTTGAGTATGAGAATACAGTTATGTTCTTGGTTAAACAAAGAACTTGAAAGAAACTCTTTTACCTTTCCATCCCAAACCTGCTCTTTCCCCTTGTGATGACCATCGTCAACAGTTGGGTGTATATTCTCCTAGACCTTTTTCGACTCAGGATGAGCAGAAAGGGAAATGGCTTTCAGTTGATGGCTGACTCACTCATTGCATTGAACTGCACTGAATCTGCTCTATGCCCCCCAAGGGATAAATTCAGAGAACAAGCTGAAGATGACTTTGGTATAACTTCTCAAAGCATGATTTGCTTCTCAGATTTACCTAAACTAAGAAAGGTTTGGGTTAATCTCGCTGTTTTAGCTATTTAAATGTACATATGAAATGAAGATTTTTTTTTTGTTTTTTTGCGGTACGCGGGCCTTTCACTGCTGTGGCCTCTCCCGTTGTGGAGCACAGGCTCCGGACGCGCAGGCTCAGCGGCCATGGCTCACGGGCCTAGCCACTCCACGACATGTGGGATCTTCCCGGACGGGGGCACGAACCCGTGTCCCCTGCATCGGCAGGCGGACTCTCAACCACTGCACCACCAGGGAAGCCCTGAAATGAAGGTTTTTAACAAGATAAATGAGATCATACCACATGTAATGTTCTGTAACTTGTTTTATAATATGACTTAGGGATCTTTCTGTTAGTTCCTAGAGATCTTTATTCTCTGAATTGCTAATAATAAAGATGTAATAGTTTATTTAACCATTCCTCTGTTGAACACTTAAGTTGTTGCTGATTTTGTACTATTACCAACAGTGCTATGTGAACATCCTAGTATGTGCAGTGTGTCTTTGAGAATGAATGAATGAATGGATATTTCAAGCATCCAGAAGCAGAAATGCTATGTTAATTTTGATAGATTTAAACTACCTTTTTTTTTTTTTTTGGCCGGGCCACATTGCTTGTGGGATCTTAGTTCCCCGACCAAGGATTGAACACGGGCCAGGGCAGTGAAAGCTCCAAGTCCTAACCACTGGACCACCAGGGAATTCCCTAAATTACCTTTTTAAAAAATAATTAATTAATTAATTAATTTTTGGATCAGTTGGGTCTTTGTTGCTGGGGCTTTCTCTAGTTGTGGCGAGCGGGGGCTACTCTTCGTTGCGGTGTGCGGGCTTCTCATTGCGGTGGCTTCTCCTGTTGCGGAGCACGGGCTCTAGGCATGCCGGCTTCAGTAGTTGCGGCACACAGGCTCAGTAGTTGTGGCTCGCGGGCTCTAGAGTGCAGGTTCAGTAGTTGTGGTGCACGGGCTTAGCTGCTCTGCGGCATGTGGGATCTTCCCGGACCAGGGGTCAAACCCATGTCCTCTGCATTGGCAGGCAGATTCTTAACTACTGCGCCACCAGGGAAGCCCCTGAATTACCTTTTCAACAGCTGTATACATTTATATTCTTACTGATAGCATATGAGAGTAACAGTTTCCTCATACTTTTGCCAAAAGCAGGTATTATAAATGTTGAAAAAATTTACATTTTGATAGTTAAAAAATAATACTTTAATTTGTATTTCTCTGACCATTGATGAAGCTTAGTGTTTTTTAAGTTTACTAACAATTTATAATTTATATATTACACATAATATATAATTTATATAATACATAATATACAAATATGAATATATAAATTCCTGATGAGAGGGTTGCATTTAATTTGAAAATTAACTATAGCTGGCAAAGAAGCCCAGGGAAGAAATATTTATCCGCCATTGCCAACCCACTAGGTCACTAGCTCTGAAGAGAGATCTTTAATGCCACCAAAGTGCAATGTAATTGTTAATAGAAAACTAGACAGAGAAACAGGATTCATCTAACTATGAAATCGGACATGACCCATTGATTATTAAGACTGATGACTAAGAAGTTATTATCTAGTTAGATTATTTTGGTACTAGAAACATTGTTCACATTACCAAAAACTGTGATGTCTTTCTGGGTTCCCCGGGGGGCAAAGTTACCATTAAAAAAGCACACAGACATCTGGTGTTTTAAATGTGACATTTCTGAATTACAGAGGAGCCATTTATTCAGCTTAATTTGGGGCTCATAATTTTAGTCTCCTAAACTGTGCTGTAGTATTAGAAATGTTGGAAATATTCTTTATGTGTGCTGCCCAATAAGGTAGCCACTAAGCACATGTAGCTATTTACATTTAATGAAAATTAAAAAAAATTAAAAACTCAGTGCCTCTGTTACACAAGCCACTTTGCAAGTGCTCAATAGCTATGTGTTTCTAGTGGCCATCTTATTGGACAGTGCAGATAGAGTCTATCCCAACATCGCTGCAAAAAGTTCCACCGGATTTAAAAAAAAAAAAAAGTTCCATTGGGTAGCGCTATTTTAGAAGCAGGAATTAAGACAGGGAGATGGATTTTAGCTGATGCCTGACTCACTCACTGCACTGAACCAAACTGAATCTGCTCTACATCTGCAAAGGGACACATTCAGAGATTAAGCTGAAGATGGCTGTGGTATAACTTTAAAGCATGATCTGCTTCAGATTTACCTAAACTGAGAAAGGTCTGTGTTAATCTCTCTGTCTTAGCTAATTAAGAGTCATTTGAAATTTTTCTGTTTTCTTTTGAACTCTATAGTACTGTATCTGTGTGTATTAGTATTTGTGTCATTTGCTACGAAAGCTTTAGGACCTAAGATTTGAAGCTAAATAATAGTACTTCTTCTTTCAGGAAATACCATGCACTTGTCCTTTAAGGAAAAAAAAAACTTTAATTTCTTTTGGCGATTTTAACAGTAAAGTGCTCATGGTAAAAGAAAAAATTAAAATATATATAATTATAAAAAATTAAGTCAGTTGTAATCACACTACCCAGAGATAATCACAGTTAATATTTTGATGAATATCCTAGGCTTTATTGGATGCATCTCTACATATAAATAAATTTTCAATAATGGGGCCATATTATTCTATATTTTATAATGTGAATGTTACTGAAATGATGTATCAATGTCTTTTTATGTTAGTATATATTTATTATTTCTATTGGTTGCATAGTACCACACTGTGGATGTACTATTATTTATATGTACAATACAGTCTTTCTTGTATTGATAATTATTTTGGATATTTTCAAGTTATGATTTTATAAACAACAAGAATAATATCTTTGCTTACACTTTAAAATGCTTTGGATTGTTGGGTCAAAGAGTATAGTACTATTAACATAATAAAGTCAAATAGAAATTTTCTCTATCTCAGGAATACAACTCAATTTTAGAAGTTTGATGCTTCTGCAAGTCTTTTGAACTATATAAAGCTTTCAAAAAGGAACTAAAGACTCTAGAACCTGTTACTTAAAAAGTCAAAACTTTCATTATTTGACATGCCTAATTTAAATAATTAAACTTGTAAGAGAAAACAGATGATTTCTTAACATCTCTTTCATGAAAATTTCAAGTGTGCTTAGAGAGGAAAAGTAACAGTTTAGTAAAACAGTTAAGAGCTGACTTTAGAGCCACAGTGATTGAGTCTGAATACCAGTTCTAGCTGTGTAATCTTGGGTAATTTAAGGTGTGCCTCAGTTTCCTGATCTGTAAAATGGGGGAACAACATACCTACCTCATAGGATTTTTGTGATGAACATATCTTGTAGCTATAATATCCCAGTATGTTGTTTGATTGTGTAACATTTCCCTTTCTATAAGGGATATAGGACATACATTTATATGTTAAATGAAAGTGAATGAAAACATTCACTCTTTTTTTCTTTCCTTTGGGATATATTTTCTCTTAGATGTACTAGGGTATCAACTCTAATATGGAATCTACTGGCTCATAATCCAAGCATCTATATTATAACTCGCCCCACTGCTCCTTCCACAAAGCAAGCTACATGTCTTAAAAAGGTCAAATACTGTTATAAGGAAAATTTCTATAATACTACCACCATACCAATGATCCATTTATTTTAAGCAATATCTAATAATATCCTGGTAGTACAAAATAGTTGAGAATTTTTGGAAAATTTTCACAGCAAAGTTAGTAATAATTTCATAAATATTCATAAATATATTACTGAAATGATTTCTGAAAATGCTCAAAAACTGCCAGAAAGAAACTAGAATATAGACATTTCAATGTGGATTAAAAAACTAAGCTACATTCTTATAGTGAGAGCCAGATTTGTTTCTTTTGGTTTCTTTAAACGCTGTATCTTACTGGATTATGAAATGAAACATGCCTTTTCCTTTGTGCATAAATGAGATTTTAAAATCATTGACTTTGGTTATAGTTTTTATATAAAAGAATCTTAATAGGTTTGTAAGATCAAGTCAGTAGTTAAAGGAACCTCTCCAAAAGTTCTCAGTTAAAAAAAATAAAACAACAAACTTCAGCTGAGTAAGAAGACTCTTTTCTTACAGGAATTCCTATAATTCTATTCTTCATAGGAGGGAAGATATACACCCCTCCTCCAGGTATCTTTTTTTTTCCCATTGCATTTGTAAGGTCTAAACATAAATGATTTTATATTCCTGACATCTTAAACATATTCTTGGTGACAGATTATTACAACTTTCTAGGGAAAAAAGTAGAGCAACCAGCATGCTGAAAGAGTGATGCTTTCTTCATATTTTGGCCATAGGTTTGCCTTAAGAAATAGCACACCCCTCAGAATGGAAGAATTTATCTGCCTGCTATTTGATGGGGTTCAGAGCTAAGATGGCTGACTAAATAAACATGGGGGACTGGAATTTCCTTGGAGGCATTCTGGAGGAAGTTCACATCCACTCCACCATGATTGGAAAGATGTGGCTCACCGTCCTGTTCATATTTCGAATGCTTGTTCTGGGTGTAGCTGCTGAAGATGTCTGGAATGATGAGCAGTCTGGCTTCATCTGTAATACAGAACAACCCGGCTGCAGAAATGTATGCTATGATCAGGCCTTTCCTATCTCCCTCATTAGATACTGGGTTTTGCAGGTGATATTTGTGTCTTCACCATCCCTGGTCTACATGGGCCATGCTTTGTACCAACTGAGAGTTCTGGAGAAGGAGAGGCAGATGAAGAAAACTCAACTGAGGGGTGAACTGGAGGAGGTAGAGCTTGAAATGCCTGGGGATCGGAGGAGATTGGAGCAAGAACTGCGTCAGCTTGAGCAAAGGAAACTAAATAAAGCTCCACTCAGAGGAACCTTGCTTTGCACTTATGTGATACACATTTTCACTCGCTCTGTGGTTGAAGTTGGGTTCATGATTGGACAGTATCTTTTATATGGATTTCACTTAGAGCCTCTATTTAAATGCCACGGCCACCCGTGTCCAAATATAATTGATTGTTTTGTCTCAAGACCCACAGAAAAGACGATATTCCTATTATTTATGCAATCCATAGCTACTGTTTCACTTTTCTTAAATGTTCTAGAAATATTCCATCTAGGTTTTAAAAAGATTAAAAGAGGGCTTTGGGGACAATATAAATTGAAGGATGGACATAATGAATTTTGTACCAACAAGTCGAAACAAAACCTTGCCAAATATCAAAACACATCTGCAAATTCACTGAAACGATTCTCTTCTGCACCTGATTACAGTCTGTTAGTGGAAAAGCAAACACACACAGCAGCATACCCTGGTTTAAATCCACCTGCATTTCAGACAGATCCAGATAATCACAGTGGAAATGATGACAAAGGCATTTTGGATGAACAGGAAACGCTACTTTCTGAGATGTGTATGCTTAGTACTACCTGTGGTCATCTTCAAAACATCAACTCAAGTAATAAAGGAGACACTCACAAAATATCTGGAAAAGAAGTTAATGGTAACCAGTTGAGGGGAAAAAGAGAAATTGATGGCAAAGACAGCAAAAGGAACCACTACTCTAAAGGTCACTGTTCTATTCCAGGTGATGCTATAGATCTGAACAACCACATGGGGCAGTCACCCCAAACAGCAACTCTGCCAGCTAACTACACCTGGAAACCGAAATGGCTTCGTGCTACTTGGGGTCCCTCTGCAGAAAATGAAAAGCAGACATTACCTCCTAAAGGTAACCTCAAGGGCCATCTCAGAGAGAGCACAATCAGAACGCTTCCTCCTTCACAGGGAGACTTCCATCCACTTGACATTCCAGACACTCCTGATTCTTTGGGAGGGTTGTCCTTTGAATCCAAGTTGGTCAGAACCTGCAATAACCCTACTGCTTGTCCTCCAAATCATTTAGTGTCGCTGACAAACAACCTCATTGGTAAGCGGGCTCCCACAGACCTTCAGATCTGAACAGCTGTTGGCTTTTAGACATTCTGTGTATTACATTATCAAATAAGTAGCTTAATGATGGTTGAGCACAGAAAAAACATAGGGCCGCTCTACAGACCAGCTGTTTAGACAGACAACTGCAAACCCATTTAAAAAAGGGAAAATGGCTCTAATTCTGAATTGGGAAGGACTAGTTTCAAGTTCAAAGACATCAAGTTACCAAATCAGGACTACTTTTCTACAGGCTACCTTCAGAATAACACTAATTTTGGGAAAATCACATGTCAGAATTGAAGCTAAATGGAACCAGGTTTTTCCTTGAAGGGAGCACAGCCTTCAGAGATTGTTCTTAATCTATGTAATTCCCTCTTTTGGTTATTAATCTTTTACTTCTGGACACTGATTATACTTTGTTTGCCCCTGGGACTTAACGCAGTTTCTTTATAGACTGCAACCTGATCTGTCTGGAATATAATCATAATGTTGCTATCTAGGTAAATAAAATCCTAAAAAGACTGGTCGCTTTCTTTCACCAGTTTATAGACAGCATCGTGATTCAGTGCCAGGATCGGAGTCTTGGCTCTACTACTCACTGGTTATCTATACTTGACAGTTTACTCACAGTACCTACCTTACAGGGACGGTGTGAGAATTAAAATAAGAAACATATGTGTTTAATGCACTGCCAGGCACACAAGTAAGCGCTCGAAAGTGCTAGCTATTATTAGCACATTACTGCTCGCCCTCCGGAGGCCCACATCAAGTTGGCCACAAAACAAGGAGACTCCAAATATAAGAGCTGGAGCCCAAACAGACGATTCTAAGCAGTCCTCCAGCCATTGGAAATCCAAGGGTTGCCCTCGTTAGTGTGCCCTTTTTCAAGATGGGAGTCGACAAGCCAGCACACACACGCTGCCAGAGCTCCGGAGGTCCTAGTTGAGACAGGTCCGCCCACTCCCCGTGTCAGGAGACCCCAGTCTCTAGAATGAGTTCAAGTGCTCCAGGGCTCAGTAGGCCCCGCCCACCTTTGGCCCCACCTGGACACTTGTCCGGAGTTACCAAAACCCAGCCTCGTACTAAGTAGCCGAATCTCTGCGAGAACCGGAAGAGGAAGGAGAAGTGCTGCTTTGCTAGACAGAGGGGCGGGCGTACGCAGCCTCCTTTGGCTCAGCTCACTATGGGGCATTCAAAGCGTCCTGGTCGCCATGAAAACGGGCCACACCCCGGCGGTCCCGAACCGTGGTTCGCAAGTGCGCAGGCGCGCGCGCCCTTCCGCGCATGAGCAGTGCCGCTCCGAGCCCTCCCGCCACGGTCTCCGGCGCCAGCTACGCCGCTGCCGCTGTCACTATGGCCCATTACAAAGTGAGGGGGGCGCGGCGTGGCTGTGGGCGTGCGGGCGGTAGCCAGCCGCTGGTCGGCTCGGGTGGGAGTGGGGGCGCGCGCGCAGGTCTGGGGGGCTTGAGGTGGCGAGGCGGAGGCGGCGTTGCCGGACTCCCAGCGCCTTCTTCCTGCTCCGGCCCCCGGGCTTCGGCCACTGACCCGCCGTGTCTCCTCAGGCCGCCGACTCGAAGCGCGAGCAGTTCCGGAGGTACTTGGAGAAGTCGGGGGTGCTGGACACGCTGACCAAGGGTGAGCATGGGCCAGGAGAGGGTTTCTCGTGACCTCGTCGTGCTCCTCGGCGCTGCGCCCAAGAAGGGCCGTGGCGTGGGGCAGGAGGGGAACAGGTGGAACCCGTCCCGGGTCTAGCGAGGTGGGCCTCGGGGTTCAGCGGGGACCGGCTCACGCCTGGCTGCCGGCCGCCGCCGGGGTTGGGTAGCCTCGCGCTCGCTACCGCTCTCGCCGCAGGGAGTGAAACTCTTGCAGCTGTTGTGAAGTCCCTCCAACTTCCGTTGCTTTGCCTTGAGCAGCCGCAGTGAGCATGTTTGCTAAAGACCTTGAGAGCCCAACTCCTCCCTCCTGACACTTTTTTCGGAGCCCTCAAAATCCTGTACAGAAACACTTTTCTTTGAACAAAGGGCAAGTGGGGAAATGACCAGGTTTGAAAGCGGGCTATAAAGTAGCTAAGTGAACCTAATCCCCGAAGCAGCGGTTTGGCTGTGGCTTTTCAACGGGCCCCCGTTTCGTAGTCTATGTCAATTCCTACTTTGTGCAATTTCACAATTAAAGTAGAATCACAGTCTAAAGAGCTTGAGGGCACATCAAAACGGTTATATTGTTTTCACTTTTAAAAATGGAAGCAGTTACACTGTATCTCTTACTCTGGGGTTCAAGATCTAAGTAGATGAATAAGGTGCTTGAAACTGGAGGGTTCCAAGAGGTAGTGTGGGTACTGCTTATTTCATTAGCTAAGCCGTAAGGCGAATGCCTGTTATGTATCATTCAACTCACTGGCTGGAACTTTCAAGGGTGCAGAACAGAGGAGTTGGCAGGGATGATGATCTGGGTCCCTATGAGAAGTACAATAAATATCCGGGAAATAATTTGGTAACTGCTCTTTGGCCAGAAGCAAAAGTTAGGAGAAAATTCTGGGAGAATAACAACTCTGGGTCTTAGCAGAATGCAGGGCTTTTAATTCCCAAGCATGGGCTGGTAATTTTGAGTTACTACCTTAGGTTCAGGTACCAGTTTCCTCTCTCTTTGCAAATAAGTTTCAGTAAACATTTAAGGGACTACATGAAAGCACTTGTGCTGTCATCTGGGGAGGTATCACAGACTCTTGGAATTTCATCGACCTCCCCCACCCCTCAAAAAACTCCATAAGCGCACTTCTTTCATTTATTTAACCATTTTATTCAGGTGTCTGTTCTAGGCACCGGGGATAAAACAATGGGGGGAAAAAAGTCCCTGCACTAAATGAACTTATATCCTAGGTGGGGGAGACAGATAAACCATAGTGTCAACCAGTGGTAAGTGTTTTGAGAAAAACATAGCAAAGTAAGGGCATAAGGAGGATGGGTGTGCCATTTTATATAGGGTGGTGAGGCAAGGCCTCTCTTAAGAACATTTGAACAGAGTGAAGTGTGATGTTGAGTTTCAGGAAGTGTAAGGAGGCCAGAGTGGCTCGATGGAGTGAATGAAACATACACTGGTAAGGACAGAGAAGTGATGATAGTGGGAGGTAAATGAAGATATTCAGACTTGTGGCCATACATGGATTTTCCTTCATGAGAGACTGGAAACCACGAGAGGCTTCTTTTCCCTTACTGACATCTACTGGTATTCCCCCTCAACTTTCCTAGATTTCCAGTCTCCTAAGTAACATCAGACAACAGAGTATCTACTGATATGATCTATTTAAAGTTTGATTTTGTGTACTTTACACAGATTTAACTTATAATTTTTATCCAGCTTATTTCCACATTAAAACGCTAACATTAAAACGCAATAGGGGGCTTCCCTGGTGGCACAGTGGTTGAGAGTCCGCCTGCCGATGCAGGGGACACGGGTTCGTGCCCGGGTCCGGGAGGATCCCACATGCCGCGGGGCGGCTGGGCCCATGAACCATGGCCGCTGAGCCTGTGCGTCTGGAGCCTGCGCTCCGCAATGGGAGAGGCCACAGCAGTGAGAGGCCTGTGTACCGCAAAACAAGCAAACAAACAAACGCTATAGGGATGGCTAAAGATAAGTCATTTGGAAGAAGAGGCATTTTAGTTATTTTGAGCACTGTATCAACCTCTAAAAATCCTGGCTGCTAAGGCAAAAAGGGAAACACTGGGTATAGAGTTCTTGTCTGTTTAAAAGGAAGTATATTTCATCTATAGAAAAGCACAGGAAACTTGACATTTACATTATGTTCTGTAATTATCAACCTTGTAACTACCACTGACAGAAACTTAGAAGCTAAAAGAAAGGGTAGGGGAAGAAGAAGCGGAAAGAGTATTCATGTCTTGTAAAGTTAGAATTTGGTAGAGATCAGTGGAAATTAATGGAAGAAGAAACAGAGGCTTGAGTACATAGTTTCAAGAAAAAGGCAATAAGTAGAGGAATTAAAGTGAACTGTAACACTGAAAGAAGAGGGAAGGAGAGGAGAGGGTAGTGATGATGTAAATATGCCAATTTCTCAAAAAACAGTGCTGTAAGTACGTTTAGAAGAGTATCAGAACTTAACGTAAGTTGTATTAGTTGCCCATTTGATTTTTTTTTTAATACTGTCTATATTTGAAGGGTTATTACAACTCTAAAAAATAAAAGGGAAGCATGTAAGTTGGTTTATGAGGTGTTCTTAAACTGGGGTCTAGATATGCACACTTTTTTGTGTGTAGATAGAGATTTTTGTCTTTGATCAGATTTTTCAAAGATTTCCGTGCACAAAAAAATTAACCACTGGTTTAGAGAGATTTTTACTTGAGTAGTATATCCTAGAAGGAATGTGTTCAATAATAAGATGGAAAAGGTAGTGCTGACATGAACTATTGGGTATGAAACCACTAAAGTATATATTTTAATACTGATTTGAGCATGTTGATTACTGGTAAAGTTTTTGGTTGGTGGTGGTTTAGCATGTTGTGTGTGAAACTTCATTCTTGAAGAACATTTTGAATTCAGAGCTTCTTCCTTCCAACAGTTAACCATAGCCCTGTGGATTCTCTACAGAGTTTTTCTCAAACGTATCTACCTTGTTTTCATCCCCCTATCACTCTAGTGCAGGTCACTCTCTCCCTGTTTTTTTTGGCTGCCCCATGAGGCACGTGGGATCTTAGTTCCCCGACCAGGGATTGAACCCATGCCCCCTGCAGTGGAAGCCCAGAGTCCTAACCACTGGACTGCCAGGGAATTCCCAGGTCACTCTCTTTAAACTGGATTACTGTATCAGCTTAATTGCTCTTCCTGCCTTTAAATCCTTGTCCCACTTGTCAGTCTTCCACACAGGAGTCAAGAGTGATCCTGTCACTCCCCTGCTTATAACTGTTTAATTACCTGCCATTTTGTTCTTAGGACCAAGGCCTGACTGAACTTGCAGGATCCTCTAGTCTCCTCCCTAACCACCTTTCCAGTTTCCTTTCCTGCCCCCCTTTTCACAGCTCCATCTAGACACACTTGAATTTTCAGTTCCTCAATATGTTGTTCTTTTGCCCCTGGCCTTCCCTTTTTATCTGAAACCACTGCCTAGGTCTCAGGTCTTATTTCTGTTTCTTGGGGATGCCTTCCCTGGTGCCGTGGGCTGAGTTAGGTGTTCTTCCAATGTGCTCCTATAACCCATTACCCTATATTGCTGCTTGATAGTCTTTTTTTATCTAGTTCCTTGTTTATCTTTTGCACTAGACTGTAAATTCATTGAGAGCAGCGACCTTGTCTGTCTTGTTCACCATGGTATGGACAGTCCTAGCAATGTGCATGGTGTATAATAGACACTCAGTATTCACTGGGGTATGGAATATAATTTCAGCCATTTAAATTTAAGACTTTAATTGTTGTTTTTTCTGCTTTTTGATTTGCAGTTTTGGTAGCCTTATATGAAGAACCAGAGAAACCTAATAGTGCTTTGGAGTATCCTTTTCATTTTTCAAGTCAGAAAAAGGCCTTTACTTTTTTGAACTCCTATATTTTCACGTAGATAATAACCTTTAAGATACTTTTGATTACTGAAAAAATTACTTTCTTTGAGTATTTGGATTTTGATCTCTGGGTAAATATTTGTGGTAGGGTGGGGTAACTCTCATCAGAGAATTATTTCAAAAGGCTATTTCATTAGTTTCATTGAGCTCAAGTAAATTCTTAACTTTTATTATTAGTTTTTTAAAGCATCACTTAGGAGCTGCTACCCCAGAAAATCCAGAAATAGAGCTGCTTCGCCTAGAATTGGCAGAAATGAAAGAGAAATATGAAGCTATTGTAGAAGAAAATAAAAAACTGAAAACAAAGGTAAAATTTTTGAAAGAATTCATATTAAAAATAATGTCACCTTTAATGATTATATGACCAGAACCTCACTAAAATGGACAGTAGGGGAGGGAGGCGGGTGAATATCAATCTCAGTTAACTGCAAGGCCAAGCTGATGCCCTGTCTAGAAAACCACAAGAAAACTGTAAATAGGGTGAGCAAAGTGTGGTCAAGAAGAGGTTCTTGGGAACCTTCATTGACAAAAAGATGAAAATATTGGTTAATGATTAGTGGTTTATAAGTAAATGGAGATTTCTTAGAGTCTTAGGCAGTTGACTTAATAGGTCAGTACAGGGCCACTGCTTTGCTAATGGAACCCCTTAGATTGTGCAGTGCACAATCTGCATAGTCACGTGGTGGCCCTGTAATGTGTTAACTCTGTAAACTTGTTTGCACTTAACCTCGGTACATTTGCTTGCCCTTAATTTTGTCTAGTGCTGAAGTTTTTTCTTTGTTTAAGCTTCCGTGAGAATTTTCATAAAGCTCAAACTAGTCAACTCTTAAGTCTTTGAGGTTTTACCACATCTGAATCACATAATGCATTTCACGTGACTCTAGGCATTTCTCATGATGTGCTTTATCTTCTCAACCTTGTGAGATAAGTCACACAGGTGCACAGACCATTCTGTAGGTGAGGAAACTAAAGCACAGTGAAGTCTAATTAGCTTCTCAAATCTGACAGCTAACTGGAACAACTCAAATCTTAGCGCAGTGTTGCAGCAGACCCCAGCTCGGCATAACAGAAAATTCAGTGTCTGAAATTATCCAAGATCCCACAGTGTGTAGATGCCACACAACTTTTTGGCACCTTTTAAGTCAAAAGCATTAGCTGCTCCTCATTGACTGGCTAGATTAATGTATGTCACATAATTTTTTTTTTCTGCTTTTTAGGAGAAAGTTCAGTAAACGTATGGCGGAGAGAACGAATATGGTGGCTTATACCTTACTATAAGCCACAACATCTTTGGGAAGATATAGATTATTGCATATCAAGTATTTGTGTAGTGCAGTCATGAATGGGAATTAAGTTTTAGTTTCCCAGTAATTTTAAAGGTTTATTTAAAAAGAACTTTCACTAGGTTTGATTATATTAAATATTAAGATCACTGAGTGGTTTAAAAAGGATAGGATTTTAATATAAACTTACTGATTCAGTAATTAAATTGAATAGTTAACTCGTTTTGTTACTATTAAGTTTTTTACCCAATTTAGAATCAAATTCACCTAAACTCCTCTGTCTTTGCCCCGTAGCTTGCTCAGTATGAACCACCTCAGGAGGAGAAGCGTGCTGAATAGGATTCTTCTCAGTTGAAAAGACACTGAAAAATGGTTTTGTATGACTTGAATAGTTTGTATAGTATATAATCTTTTCTGAACAGATGCTATAGTACTCTTTTAATATGTTAAATTCACCTATAACACTTTAACTGTTATAAACACATATACTTAGAATCACCAATAAAAACTCAATATAACTTTCTTTGGGTCTTAAAAGCAGGAGAATCAAAAGGGAATCCTGAAAAAACATCTAAACACAGCCATCTAATTCATTACCTTAAAAGACATTCTGTTTATTAGTCTGACTAGGAATGATGGTACTGGTTGTATTTTAGCCAAGGAAGTTTAGCATGGAGCTGTTCTTTGGTTTAGTTCAGGATATGAACACAGGTACAGTCATTCTTTAAAATGAAGATGACACTGTTGTTTATATTCTCTGTAGGCAGCTGGAGAGGTCTGTGTGACATAAGATACTGTTGCATGGGGTCTCATGAATCTTCTGCTCTTGTTTATATAATGTGGAACAAATGACTCTTCTTTGCCACCACTTTGCCTTAGATAACTGTGTGTGTGCCAGTGTGAACTCTGACACCACGTTTCCTTCTATGCAATCATGCCCTATCTGATAATGTTGCCTTGCTTTACTATGTGCTTCCGTGGGTCCCGGTTGCACATTGGCCTTTCTGTGTTGTTTTTCAACTTGCTATAATAGCAGTTATCCTGATTGTAATTTATATAACTTTAAAGAGAATCACACTGTTCCCCTGCCTTACTTGTTGCTTAGCTGAACACAGAACAGAGGCAATATAAAATTCTGGGTTCACGCACAAGCTGGGACAAGAAGGGGAATGAGCCATATATCGTGGAAAATTATAGTTTGCGGGTATAATTATATAGTGCTTTTTTCCCCTCAAAGTATTTTTCTAGCCTTGAATTCATTTTATCTTCATTATCCCTGTGAAGTAGGCAAGTATGAGGGGAGGTGGGGTGCTGAATTTTTAGGCCAAAGACTAATATGAATACAAATTATTTACTAATTGTAGAACCTTGGGCACATCAGTTAATTGCTCTGAGATTCACTTTCCTCATCTGTTAAATGGGAATAATATCTGTGCTGCCTACCTCACAGGGTTGTTGTGAGGGTCAAATGGAATGTATGTGAAAGATTTGTAAATGGTAAAGCACTATATTCTTGTTTGTTAGTCCTTTTTCCTTTCTTGGAAGACCTACAGTCGGATGTTTTGTGTTACTGATCACTTATTTTCCTTATTGATTGACTAGCATTATTAAGAAGTAGTCCTGGGCTTCCCCGGTGGCGCAGTGGTTGAGAGCCCGCCTGCCGATGCAGGGGACATGGGTTCGTGCCCCAGTCCGGGAGGATCCCACATGCCGCAGAGCGGCTGGGCCCGTGAGCCATGGCCGCTGAGCCTGCGCGTCCAGAGGCCACAACAGTAAGAGGCCCGCATACCGCAAAAAAAAAAAAAAAAAGTAGTAGTCCTATTTCATGTATTCTGTCCCTATTGTTAGAGAAATGTCTTTATTTTTTGGTGAAAACACACATAGAAAACAAAATCCAATGAAATCTGGTTTAACTAGCAAAAGCCTCAGCACCTGCTGGAAACTGACCAAGCCAATCATAAGCGCATTTTAATCAGTCATGTTGGCAGGAATGTGGCAATGGTCTGTGCCTCTTCTAGTCACAAGTTTGTTTTTGGAGGGGAGTCAGATACAGTTGAAAGAACATTTACTTGAATTGGTTTATGTTTTACCAGTTTGAGTGCCTCTTACATGGACAGCAGTGGGCTGAGTGCTAGGTGTTATAAAGGTGAATGACTTGAAGTTAGCTTTAAGCCACATATATAACCAACTACAATGTGGGACAGGATGTGCTAAGAACCATAAATGATAATAAAACATGGCCCCATGGGAGTTTTGGAAGAGAGGGAGACTTGGCTTCCTTAAGCAATTGGTATGACAGTCCCTTTGTGGACAGGCAAGTAGAAATTTTTTCTGGCAGCCAACCCTCATTTGCTTTTTTCCCAATGGGCCTGGTATTAATATTTATGTAAGTCAAATGACTGTCTCTTGTACCATCCTTTTGAACAGAATGGCAACCTGTGGGTTGGATAATCAGACCTTTTGGGGGAACTGACCTGCTTAAACTGCTGTATCAGTCAGTGCTATGAATTCAGGGTCAGCCTGGCCTCTGGAGGTCCTCTTCAACATTTCTGTCAAGGATCTGGATGAAGACAGTATACAAGAAGATGCTCAATGGAGTAAAAAAGGATCCAATCTGTTTAGTTCCTGTTTGTTTCAGCTGCCTTATCTATAAAATGTAGGTTTTGTTATCTTGCCTACCTCACAAGGTATTGTAAGGATCAAATTAAACATAATGGATGTAAAAGTACCTTGCAAATTGTAAAGGACTACATATGGGTCAGATGGTAGTAATGCTAATTCTCTAAGTGCCACAAAGTTGGAAGGGCTGGTTGGTAGACTATATTGAAATGAGCTTGAAAATGATCAACAACTTGAAGTACCTAAACTTCACAGCGTAAGCCAAAAAGTTGAAATATCAAGTCTTACATTTAGGTTAAAAAAATGTAGCTATACAAGTTTAGGCACTAGGATTGCTGACAAAGTACTAGTTCCAGTGACTATCAATGTGAACCACTTATACTCCATGTATATTAAAAAAAAAATCCATTCTGGAAAGCATTAATAGAAATATTGTCCAGGTGCTAAACAGTCACCCTGAAGGCTGTATTGGTCAGTATTGCATCGTAGGTGTCAGACATTTGATGGATGTTGACAAGCTCAGTTGCATATAAAGGAGAGTGCATCTGAAACCATAAGGCTGTGTTGTCCAATACGGTAGCCACTAGCCACATCTGGCAATTAAAATTAAACAAAATTAAAAATTCAGTTCCTCGGGCTTCCCTGGTGGCGCAGTGGTCGAGAGTCCGCCTGCTGATGCAGGGGACACTGGTTCGTGCCCCGGTCCGGGAAGATCCCATGTGCTGCGGAGTGGCTAGGCCCGTGAGCCATGGCCGCTGAGCCATGCGTGTCCGGGGCCTGTGCTCCACAATGGGAGAGGCCACAACAGTGAGAGGCCCGCGTACCGCAAAAAAAAAAAAAAAAAAATTCAGTTCCTCAGTCACACTAGCAACAATTGAGCAGTGTAGATGTAGAACATTTCTATCATCACAGGAAGTGCTATTGGACATTACTGTAGAAGGAATGGCTGAAGGAACTGAGTATGTTTAATGTGGAACAGAGAAGACAGTGGGTAATGAAGACTGTAATCTAATATTTGAGGTGCTGTCGTGAAAAAGATGAAGACCACTGCTTATAGACTCTGGTATATAAGCTCCAGGGAGTGTGATTTTTGGCCTGAATAAGAGACTTTTAAACAAAGTTTTACCACAGTGGAATTGGATGCCTATTGAGATAGTGAGCTCTCTTCCCTGGGATCTATTGAAGTGTATGCTGCATGTCTATCAGTCAGAGACACTGTAGAGTGGATTCTCTTTAGGTGAGAGGTTGGACTAGATGACCTCTAAGTATGTGTGTCCTACCTTTAACTTCGACTTTCAGACAGAACCAAGTCCCAGATTTGCATACATGCTTTCCCTTCATAATCAAGAAGTTAGTTTCCTTGGAAGATCAGTACCACCACCCATGCCCCCTTCAGGAAGAGGATCCTCTTTTGTCAAATTTCCAATTCTAAAGCCTGACCGAAGAGTAAAAATTCCTCTAGCTTTCCCAAACATTGGTGATAAGCGTTTGCTTTGGTTTACTTTCTTTCTTTATTCCTTTGGTTTCTGATCTGAAGGAGGTCATAGAAGATGCAATGTTCTATGGGTGGACAAGATTACTGAAGAAGTAGACTTTGGGTGGGGAGGAGGGGGAATCTGGTCCTGATGAGTGTGAAGTGGCAGGAGTATTCACTGTCAGTGATTTGCTGAAGAAAGAGGATAAGACATTCTCCCTTGCTTGCACTTGCTTTCCTATCAGGGTCCAGTTACCTGCTAGAACGAACTCTTCGTTCTTGCCTCTTGCCTTGGCTCTTGCCTTGGTTGAGGCTTTGCCCTCACTCTGGCTGGCTCCTCCTACATACCTTTGCACATCCCAACCATATCCATCCTTCTAGAACTATTCACACGCCAGCTCCTTAGAGATGCTCCCATCCACCCAACTCCCGAGCATTTTTATCTGTACCTCTGACCTTACAATTTGATATCTCGTACGGAAGCTACTTACGCAGAGGTCCGATCCCCATTAATCTTGGAGCAACTTGAGGGCAGGCAGGGTCCAAGGCGGTTCCAGTTCTGTGCCCCTTGTGCCCCAGGACTTCGCGGGCATCAATAAATACTGGTTGGGCGAGCACCATAGTAGTAGGAGGACAGTCAATTCTCCCAAGTGCCCAGAGAGCATCTCCTATTGCGATGGCCCCCGGAGCCCGGAAGAAAGCAGGAGAGCGGTGAGGAGCAAGGTACGTGGCTGGGCAGGGCCGAAGTGCGGGTTGGGGCGGAGGGCAGAGGGCTCAGGGCTCAGTCGGGCCGGGCCACCCTCCTCGTGACTCCTCCTCCCCCCTCCACGGCTCCGAGTCAGGTGATTCCGGGCACGTGACGGGCACCACCTACCTTGCTGCTCCCGAGTGGCAGCTCGGGCGACCAATGAGGGGCCGGGCCGCCGCATGGCGGTGGCGGCTGCCGGGGGCGGTGGCGGCGGCGGCCTGGGGAGGCGGCGGCCTGGGGAGGCCTGGCGTGGCCTGTCAGGGCGCGGGCGGCGGCGGCTCCAGCACCATGTCCCTGCAGTACGGGGCGGAGGAGCCGCCCCTCGCCGGCAGTTACGGCCCGGCGGACTCGTTCCCAAAGGACTTCGGCTACGGCGTGGAGGAGGAAGAAGAGGAGGCGGCAGCGGCGGG